AAGTCGAGCAACTCAAAACGAGTTCACTTATCGTGAAGCAAAACAGAGTGGAGCTCACCGCCTATAAACTTAAGTAAATGAATGAAATTATCATTAAGCAGGCAAATCCAAAATAAACAAGTGAGGTCCGAGTACCATATAATAAAGTACTTCCTTACCTCACTTGCTCGAGCTGCAGTGGGGAACATTGGCCCTCGTTCGTTTTTGTACGGACCTCTCTGTGCTGAATCCATGCTGCCACGACCTCGGGCCAATTTTCCCCAGTACGGCCCTTACGCTCGGTTAGTAAGAAGTTAGTTATCGATTGTTAATATGCTAACGATATATGACCGTATATGAAATATCTGTTCGTGGAAGATACCTCAGGTATGATAACCAATGCATGTTAAACTCAATCGTACACTCTGAGCAAGAAACTAGAACTCATACTTCCTTTACGACACTATAAGATTTTTGAAAAAATATACTATTTTATTTACGCTAGGTGATTACAAATACTCACTAAAGATAACGTAGCTTTGGAGGTTTGCCTTCAACATCGAAAGGCGTTGAGCTCTGACGACCAATATTAACGTACGTATCATCATGACCTTCAACCCATTGACAAATCTAAAACGAGTTAATGAGTTGGAATGTTCATTACCCAAAACTATTCTCAGTCTGACGGAGGTTTTTGCCATGAAACATGATGTAAGAAAAAAACTTCTGACTCACTTGACTAAGCTGAAAGTGTTTGAGAAATAAAATCACCCCTTTCTCAAGTTAAAGCAAATCTTCTAATGATTAAGGATCTTTACAAATGAGTTACGCATCGACGAGAGATCTCCAAACACTTTCTCAGAGGAGAACATTTCGCACAATTTGATTCCACATTTTATTAGCTAATGCCGTTCCATTAGCCCGCATCTCCTAAACTTTGGCTGACAAATACTTTCATTACAAATCGCTAAAGAGTTTAACGTGTTTTGCGTTCCCTGCTTGCATGCCCGGTAACCCACTATTGAAAGAAAAGATCTTAGTCAGAAAAAAAGGAATGGAAAATATATCAGATAAATATTCGATATCTAATTAGTCTTTTTAAAGAAATCCAAAGTGTCATACAAATTAACTTCTTCCTAAGGTGATTAGGGCAAGAAAGTGACACTGAAGCAATAAAGGCTATTTAAAACTATATTTTTGACTCTGGACGTCAAAAAGAATGGGTATTATTTTTCAGAATTGCAAAGTCCCAATGACGTCACTTTTGGTGGCCTCAAGTAATCTTCTGTCCAGAATCATTCAATAAAACCACTTCTCGTTTTCTAATGTAAAATCAATAACGGGAGAATTTTTGTTTTATCTGTCATCCTGGCCATACAATACTTTCTAAGTTTCCCTTAATTATTTCTTACCGCCACATCAGAGTGACATGGGTTTGCTTTCTTCTTAGGTCCAATTTTGAAAGGGAAGCATGGATTATAGCTGATCCTCTAACCTTTGGAGTCTTCTGCGCAAAATCTGTTCAGGAATAAGAGACCAATGATTGTTGTTATTATTTGATCATGCAAGCATGGGATTGCTGATGCATTGTGCGTAGACCAGAAATCATTTAAAATCCACCACATTTATAAGCTCTTGGGATCGAATATGCCTGAACTAAAATTATCACCAGGAATACCTGGTGATAATCCTAGAGTGACATTTACCACGTTTCGGACCTTACATTCAGTTTCATGAACGTGTTCGATCAAAAATTGATGCAATGTTAAATGGCGCATTGCAGTTGAAAATAATGAAAAAAAGATAGAAGTGTAAGCAATATATATGCACACCTAGGCTTCCCATTGGTGTTTGCCAAACTTGTAAGCTCGTATACTTCTTCTTCGGGGACTTTGTAAACGCACCTAGCTGGTTTTGATGTCGTCTCTGCCTCATTCGTTATTTGATATTCTAAGGAAGTCCGTATGGCTATGAAACACACGACCACGCTCATTCAATGCATTTCTGAACTGTCTCTAAAAAGGAAAAAACATGTTTGGCACGTTCACGCATCATAGAGGCTTCTATTTATAGTCCCCATACGGACAAGGGAACAAAATTTGCTTGTATGCAAACGTTTTAATTAGCCTAAAAAATCGAATTTGTCAGAGAAATCAATTGGTAAATTGCAGATGCACTAAGTGAAGGGAACTCTAGGTAATGGAAAATTAAAGTTGTAAAAAATCTACGAAATTTTAGGATAACTATCAAATTGACCCGTATGAAAATTGGCAATTTCCAAGCCATGCCCCAAGAGGTTACCTTCTCAATCCTCGTCAAGTTCGAAACCGCGTTTACTCCTAGAAAAAAATATGAAGTGAAGTAATTTTGGTTATCACAGTTTGAATTAAATACCTCAAAAAGCAAGCCTTCAACTCTCAGAAGTTATCAACGCTCAACCTCTCCTGGCGATTCCTGTTGACAGGATATGAGAAGAAGACACAAGCCTGTCAACTGGAGAGTTTTATCTTGATGTAACACCAAATTCTCTCTTCCAAGTTACAAGATGTGTATGGGAGTTAAAGGAGAGAATAACTCCTTGACTCGTGTGGTGTAGAGGGCTTAGGAAAAAAACTTTCTCTTGAATATCGAATCTAATTTTCATTGTAAATAGCATTTATAACCGCATGGCAAATATTATGTTTAAGCCTGAGTAACAAATTATATTACACCTCTTTAACTGATAAGTATATCTGATGTTCAGCTTTCTAAGGAGGAGAGTAACATTCATGGTATTTTTCAAGCCCGTGTAACCTGTACTTCCTCTTTTAAGATAAAGAGCACGCGATTCGAGCTATTTACATGGCAAAAATATCTTAAAAAAGTAAAAATACAAAAATTTTGCAGTCTAGGACATCATATAATCATGGTAAATTTTTAATTTAATTTTTAAACCTCAGCCGGCGAACTTTATGGACAGAAGGTTATTCCTTGAGAAATTTCTACATTCTTCGTTAATTCACTTTTGATAACAAACAACTGGATTGGAATATGCAGGGATATTTTCCTGTATCAAACCGGGTGATTTCAAAAGATGCTAAGTTGGCTGTGATGATTTGCTCAGTTTTTTTGCTTACATACTTCTAAAAGGACAAATCCATGCACTTCCTTAGAATTCGCAGCACCGATTGATTTTGCTTGGCCTTTTGAAAGTAAATTATAACAGACTTAAAGCCACGGTGCAGCTGGACACACTGAAGAATCATCGATGAGGATTAATGAAAAACGTGCAACAAGTGTTGCAGTCACAAGCAAAATAATAATTAGCACCACTCAAATCAAGAAATTTTTTTAAAGAATAAGATGAGGTTTGAGCAAAAAAGTTTTTTAAGCACACTTCTCGAAAACATTTCGCTTTGTGCACACAGGAGATGGCGTAAGCCAGCGACGAACAGATTTGTTTACACTTTTACATCTACAGGGATTTATGAAATTTTGGAACTTTTGGAACTCGATTAGCATATAACTTCGTTTTGCTAGAAACTATGATCTTCATTTCCGTGAAAAAAAGGCAACACCAAAGGTCTCGTCTGACATCTGCTAATTTAACATGAACCTAAAATTGGCCAAAATGTAACACATCTCGCGTAAAAACATATTCCAAGACTCCATCTCCACTACTTTCGCGTACTATTGGATGCAAAACGGAAACATAGATTCTCGGAAAGCGCGTTACTTCTAACCTCGTACTTACACTTTGTACGGCGATCGATTATAACCCATGCAAAATATAAGTTCAGTGACGATTTAAAATTGATTACAATTAAACGCCTTCTTGTTTCAAATCATAAAATCAATGCTGAATGATTACTAGCAAACAGGTAACTATTCACCAGCTAATGCACAATAAATGGATATTCCGGGAAAATTTTCCTTTATCTCAGCTCTAAGTTGAACATATCAGATGAACCACGGGCCTAAGATCAATATGTGCATATAATTCGTGTACCCACGGCAATGTTTATAGCACTATGCATGGCCAAAAGGTTTATACATATACAGGAAATTACACTAGCTAATGCACAATTGAAGAAATGTAAAATGGTTTCCGTGTTTACATAGCCTGATGTAAACACGCGGGAGGTTGGGAGAACACAAGATAAACGTAGGAAACCACGACGCGAAGCGGAGTGGTTTCTAGCTCATCGAGTTCAGTAGAGGTGAAAATAAGAAATTTCTTCAGACACCATTTATCTGGACGCCAGTATTGGCAAAGTAGCGAATTTGTTAGAAGGCCCACTGTTTGCCCACTCGTCTTAGTCTTCCACTCTGATCTCACGGTAACCGGCCATCACAGAAATCAATACATGTCAATGTATAGGTCACGCAAGCCTTTTAGTGAAGCGGTTTCCAGCTTTTGTGAAGTTTCATGAAAGTTTACTAGTTTATTTTGCTAGGAGCAATTAATTCTCGTCATAAAATTTTGAAAGACGGCTCTTTACACTTCCCTCTTGCTGTCAAACCCAGGAAATCTGGATGAAACCATACTTGGGTGAGAAAAAAACTGATACTTTTACACAAAAATGATTATTTGTTTTTCACCCTCATCCGTCATTTTCAATAGTGGCAAAGTCAGTATGCCTCCGACTCCTTATGACGGCTAGCGCAAGCGACACTTAACAAAATATTTTCTCAAACATTTTTCTGGATTCCACAAAGAATCTTGGATCGCAAAAGTATTTCTATTTTTGAGGTTATTAACAACCTTTCATGGTTATGGTCTTACGACATGGTCGGATATTTGGCCCCGCACATTGTTGTACGTGTTCCGGGAAGCAAACAACCATTCCTAGAATATGAGTATCGAGCTCGAAGAGCAGATCAGTAAATCTCCGGAACAAATAATTATCTGTCTGATTAATGGCCTTGAGAGGAGGTTCGGGAATAGATAGAAGTGCTACATGGAGCCTAACTTGTGCGATATTTTTTTGAAGACCGTACCTCTTGCAGCGAAGGAGAAAACGTGTACGGATACCCTTTCGTTAGAAATGTTACTGAGCGTTATGTCGACTTTCGGTGTTCTGTACTATGACTATATTTATGGTCATTCTTCTCCTGCAGCAAGAGCAAAACACTTTTCCACCTTGAATTAACCTTGTTTATTGCGTTCCGAGCAATCATGTGCGAGGGAAAAATATTTGATGGATGATGAGCTACACAAAAATAGCAAAACATTATCAGTAAGACTTTTCTTAGGCACTACTCAGTCAGTAAGATACAAATTAATTACAATTCAGACGTTATTTTACAATACAAAAATTACGTATAATACGAAAAATACCAGCAAATCCAACCTGACAAGCAATACCAAAGCTATTTTCAATGTTAACACCTTTTCAATGCTAAAAATCCATAATCTAACTACTATTATAAAAACACTAACATTGTGTTCGATGTTCTTAAAATTGAGCATAATCAGCGTCAATATCAGTTGACACGTAGTGTTGAACAGTTATTTTTATTTTTAGAATAACAACATTATTGGCCAAACGCTCTTAATCACTGACAAGACCCCCTCCCCCTATTAAATGATGTCTGTTTACAGCTAAAAGATCACGGACGTAAGATACAAAATTGTTTTAGGCGTTAACAGATTATAGGGCCGTCTTGGTGCAGTGGTTGCCTCTCATCATTTTCTTGGGGGTTGTTGTTGTTCCTCCTCCTGTTCCTCCTCTTTTTCCACCGTACAAAAAGCCCTGCTAGGACCACCAGTGCAATCACACTAGCGGTTGGAACCACAATTTCCACAATAATGTACGCTGCACAAGTTTAAAAAAACCAGAAGACGTTATTTTTCAATAATAAAATATTTCTTGAACGTAAATATCATCAGAGGAGAAGGAGCTTTAGCGAAGCAATAGAGCGCCCATCCATCAACTTTGATGATATTATTGATATTGTATGATTCTTGTGAGGGTAACAAGACATTATTTGGTGATTCTGTAAAGTGAGTGCTTGGTCTATCACACCTATTTATTCTTTATTTTGTATTCTAAACTTTTCTTTCTAATCGTTATTCCTGTGATAACGAAGGTACTTTTTGACTTTCTTTCAACTTACGATGTTCCTTCGCTGCTGGGATGAGAGATGTTCCCAAAACACAAGCATTCCCACAACCGCACAAGTGATCTAGCTCAAATTCCTAGAGCACGATAAAGGAGATACAAGAGGAAGTTTTCAAGAGCTTCATTACGGATTCAACATATGACAATCTCCTATAATCAATTTTCTTACGTGACAAGACTCGTGTTAGGAATAATGAAATCCAAGTCGCAAAAGGCTGAACAGGTTTCATGGAATTTTAAAAGCAAGTCTTTAATAATTCGTTTCACGTTCGTTTCAAAAGAAAATTGCAATATTTCGACAGCCATACTGCTAGTCTTTGACATCTACTTTGGTCCAATCGCACTCTGCATTGACAAGGGAGGAATATCTTTTAGTGACTCGTATTCTTTCAACCCAATCGGCTGACAAGAAAATTACAATTTATTTTTCATAATTATTTTTTTACATCAATCTGAGTTGATAAATTGTGTAAAAAAGTCAATTACCCAATCGTTTTCATTGACTTTCAAGGTTGCATCTTTGATGTCTGCTTTGGTCCGATCGCACTTAAAGTGGACAATGGATATTCGACCTTCAAGATCCCTGAAAGAAGATAAACTAGGAAGTTAATTAGTGTCTTCCGATAAAGACAAATTCTGTCTTTTCTATATCCCATAGATTAAGCAGTACAGCTCTCCACGTCTTTTTTTGTAAATGGTACATTGTTCCTTCTCGCTGTTTGTTAATTTTCTGCTTCTATGTGTTTCTCAGTGGTAAAATTCATATGTTCTTCAAAGCGTTAAAAAGAGTTGTATTGAAGTTAGCCTATGTGCCCACCACGAAATAGGCACCGCGCACCTAAGTGAACTTATATGTGCACATAATACTAAATTTTCATCGCTGAGCCTCGTCATAAGAACGCCCAAGTACACATACCTCCCCCCTGCGTTGTAGATTAGTCGAATACCATTGCTCTCTATGGTACATTTTGGCATTTGATTTCCAATTGACCAATAATTGTCAGGATTATCGTTGTTTGGAGTCCACCTACATATCTGAAAAGATAATAGAAATAGCACTACTATTGCCACAGGGTCACCAACAAATCTCAGAGTTACTCTGATGTATAAGGCCAACCACACGTAAGATTCTGGTATGCAAACACAACATTATAAAGGATGGTAACCCTGCTATTTTAAATAATCGCCCTCTACATTTGTGTCCAGTCTGTGCTCTCAAAATATCACGGTTATCTAATCAATAATAATGTGATTATTACCTGATACTACTCAATGGGATATCATGGATCTCGTTCTAGGGTGAGAATCATTTTGTTTCTCGAGTAACCTTTCTTACTACGGAGAAGAACAATTTTTACCGTAACTGAACACAAAGTACACTAGAAAAAAGTAACTGCCCCCACTAAATTGGTGAATCTTTCCACTATCAAACTCAGGTGTTCCTTTAAGAGTTGTTGATCACCTGCATAATACGATGGCCATGCATCCTTAAGGTTTTACGTTTGTTGATAACAAGTACGTCCTCTTGCATGTCCCAATGTACAGTGCTGAGTTGCTGTTCACAAAATTAAGCTTAAATAGCCAGATTTCTCAAGTACAACAAAAGCGCCGAAAACATCGAGCTTCATTTCTATGACTGCAGAAAAAATTAGACCATTACTTACTGCTGTTTCTTTATCCCGATCACAGTCACCGGCTAAACTGATCCATCTGCATGGATTGTAGGCGTACGAATAGTGTTGATCATATTTTCCATGGGGTGTACCATTTACAACGAAGCCCCTTAAGGAAATGTCCATAAGAAAGCGTTGGTTACGAAGTGATGACTAATCAAAAGGACGCGTAGCACCGAGTTACTCAAATGTAATTATTATCTAATACAGTCGAACCTGCCTTAATTGGTCAACCACGAGGAATGACGTGGTGACCGCCTAATACCAATTTCTCAGGATAGGGGCATTCTACAAAGCGATTTAAGAGCCAATTTCAGCATGAATCAAACAAACAGCGGCAAGTCACCCAAATTTGTTTTCCCTTCTACTTTTGTATTTTGTAGCCAAATATGTTGTGATAATTGTGGAGTTTTTTTGTAAAAATATATTTTAGTTTTCGAGAAATAATTTTTTTCGTTCGACCGCTCAAATATGCAAATTTTCACCGTGACTATAACCCGAGTTGTGTGACCTCATGTGATATGACACAATCTACTGAGCTTCAAGCTTTCATAAGACAAAAGGATGGTTATAAAGTTACAGTAAAAATTTCCTTGTGTATTTGTGTTGTTCTATCTTGGGACGAACTCAAAGTCCGGCAAAATTTACTTGATAGCGACTATGAAATGTACATGGTGCGCCTACTTGTCGCCACCGTTAACTGGCATAAATCTCTACAATTTGCAAAAAAATCTAACATTACACTCTTATCTTGTTTATTTATAATTTTATTAGCTGTTTCGATGATCACGTTAATTATGCTCTACCACATTCTAGTCAGATTTGAGTTCCAGGTTATATATCTTCTCTAACTTATTATATCAGTTGCGTGACAAGCGTGACACAGAAATTCAAAGATGAGTCAACCTCCGAAATACCAAGAGATGGGTTTTTTTCCTCTTTGTATGACATCTAGAAAAACCTTTCAGGAATTACTGCATTCAGAAAACTAAAATGTCCAGATCCATCAATGATTCTTTTGCCGGCTGAAGTCAGAGTATGGTTACAATAGTCAATTTGATTGACAAGCTACATACTGATTTAGCTAACTGATCTGTTTTAATATATAGATTTAGTCAAGCCTAAAAGCGGAGTTCCTATTAGTTTATTTTCCAGCCCTACGTTACACTGAGTAAAAACTGTAATAAAACTCTTCAGCACTGGCTGTTGAAGAGTTTCTTCAATGGATTGAAAGACCAGTTCGGGGGGTTGGGAGGTGGGGAAGAATGAAGAATTGACGAAGTCTGGAACCTGGGGACGAAGTTCTTACAACTAAGCGTCTCATCTTACACTCTACTACTCTAACATTGAGATTTGCTATTTAGTTAAATCGTTCGCTGGCGGAACTTGTGGGTAAAGTTATCGAGAAGACCAAGTCGTTCCCTTGCGTGATTGTTAAGAAGACATTTCATGTCACTTGCGGAGTTGCAAGTTTTCAGATGCAGAAAATGAAGTTGATCTTGTTTTTTCGAGTGCCGGCATCTTCGAGACACCAAAAGATATCGATGATTTTACAAATTTCCCCACTCGTAGATCAAATCTCGGTGTTGGGTGGAATCGTGGTTCCAATAGTAGATGTAGGATGCCAAAAGAAATGTCCGGCCATGGTAAAGGTAGGGTTAAGTCGATTCCAAAAGCTGATAGGGGAATTAGCAAGCGTGTATCACAGATAGTACTCAAGATGTCTGGAAAATTCCTACAACCTGGCTTCGATAAGTAGGCTACTTACGACCGTGAGTAAAATTACGCGTGACGTCAGAATTAAGTTTCGATTGGGAATTGGTGAATAGGCTACCAAAATTCAGACAGAGGCGAAGTTTTCTGAAGTAATGTCTGAACACTTTGTTGGCTTTCCGCCGTCTGGGGGGACGCGTAATTATGCACACAGTGGTAAAGGGCCTTCCGATTTCTGTCTTTTTCAATGCTTTCCTCGCTCCTACAGAGGATTCATACAAATATGAGAGCCGTGCCGCGTTTACATTGTTCAGGTAGAAAAGGTCGTCCAGAATGAGTCTTTCGTTCTGTAATGAAAACCCCAATAAACTCACTCAGGAATGACTCATTTCTAATAAATTTTATGCTGGTTATTATGTGGCAACCTTTATGAACTCGTTCTTGTACAAAACTCATTCGGATATCATGTAAAAGGCCCCTAAAAGTTTTTATTCCCAGAGCATCACGCTTTGCTCGCGTGTCTAAATACTAAAAATTTCAGTAGCGTTGAAGCAACAACCCGCTTTTAACTGCTTCGCTGCCGCTGAAACAACGATTAGTGAAGAATGCACATATTTTAATGTTTTCAATTCAACGTAAACAAAAATCTTTATAAATGGTAAATATTCCCTTGTGTCGGTATCAACTATTGCGTGATTAGCTTATGATATAAATGAGGGAGGGGAAAACACAACGCAAAACCTGAGCTCCTGTCAAAAAGTAATACCCAGGCGTAATATAATAATCGAAACGGCTAATAAAATCATAAATAAACAAGGTAAGAGTGTTATGTTAGACTTTTCAACAAATTGTAGTGATTTATGCCAATTAACGATGGCGACAAGTAGGCGCACCATGTACATTTCCCAGTCGCTATCAAGTAAATTTTGCCGGACTTTGAGTTCGTCTCAAGATAGAACAACACAAATACACAAGGAAATTTTTACTGTAACTTTATAACCGCTTTTCAAAAGGTTTTTTTTCGCGGCATACTATCACATTCTATCCATAATGTGGTTTCACTTTTCTTCAAAGATCAAGAGTTCAATTATCTCAATTTCTTGTCTGCTCCATTTGTCAATCATGAGATTCGCTTGGGTTATTCAATAAAAACGCAAGGAAAAAATCATACATGTTACTCGCCAGCCGAAAGGTCCGTATTGGAAAAAACTGTGCCCGAGATCTTGAGTACCGCCCGAGGTCGTAGGCCAAGGGCGGTACTCAGGACGGAGGGCACAATTATTCCCAACACGGACCGTCTTAGGCTGGTGAGTGACATTTTCATTTTTCCCTTAAACTTCACGGAATCCTTTCCAAACGAACCCGAATGATTTTGGGCTGTTATTACAGTAAGATCTTTTATAAACTGAACAATTATTGAGCGAGTAAATAGAAGTGATGTAAATTAAAGAGAGAGGCTTCACTGAAACATTTTCATTTGCGTATTGATAAAGGTGATTTAAAAGACTTCCAATCAAACTCTGAAACATCATTTTTACAGATATCTGTCACAATCTGATATTTGTCGATTAGAGAGCGTATAAGATAAAAAAAGCGCATGTACACTTTGAAAAAACAACGGAACTCGTTTGGCAAGGACTGTCACGACAATGTTTTCTTCGAAAACAGTCAGTGATATTACGGAAAGTATTATTCACTCTCATCGACGATTCATTCATGTGCGAAGATTTACCTCTGCTCATTAAATAAACGGCGAGGAAAGTAATCGTAAGTAAATTCAAATTATTTTCATTTTGAAGTTGCGAGGGTTTGCTCGTTTGTTTGTAGCTGTGGCGTGTGTAAATCTCGTCTTTCCTCCACAAAAACTAAATTCGAATGAGGCACTTCAACTCGACACAAGGGGATTTAATGCGGCTCTCCAAACTGAACGGACTTGGAAAGACTCACCGAAAGCGTATTTGTAGTAGAACTGAAAACTTCGCTCGCCCTTTCACTACGAACAAATTGTTTAAGAGAATTCAGATTTTAAATGAATGACAATTATAACAATTCATTTTGAAACCAATATTTTTCTGTCAACCAAAGTGATTTGAGAGAGAAAATAGAGAGGATTAATAACTTATATATCGGCTTGAAGTCGTGACCGACGTGTTTGCTTAAAAATACTTCTCAGCCGGAAAAACGAGAAACATTTGTGAAAAATGGCAACGAAGGTAGGGATGTACTCGGCAACTCACGAAAGCGTTACCGTGCACGTGGGCAGAGATCTATAAAAATACGGACCGCGCTAAGAACCAATCAGATTGCAGGATTCGTTACCGTGCCCTCTGACAAAAAAATAAATCTACATATGTCACGCAAGACTTATGAGACTGGGCAGATTTATTCGGAAGTATACTTTTGGTTAGCTGTTTAGCTTACATGCAGTTAAAAGTAGTAGTTAAAACGTTCTGCTGCCGAATTTCCGAAGAAGACTGTTTTGGTCACATATGTTAAATGTCATTCTGTTACGACAAAAGCTTGGTTGAAATAAGTAATTAATAATGCCACTGAACTCTGAGAAGAGGTTGTGAAACGGAGCGATGCTTTTTCCTCTGACATGGGGCGGAAGAGAAACATCGTGTGCCCTAAATTGAACACAGTAGTCCACAAAGAGTTAATATCGAAGTCACATGAATTTCACTTTCACCTCTCTTGCTTCGAACAAAGCTCGAGTGGGAGACTTGGCCACGGATGACATTATAGCCCTTACCATGAATTAATCAACATCCTAAGATCATTTTATGGATATATTCTGTTTTCCTTAAAGTTTATCTTGTTTTGCTTACCTTTCGATCCTTTCGGTACTCGAATATATCAATGGCGCTAGATTAACGATCTTCCCATCTCCAACTTCCCAAGCGCAGGTCATATTGTGTACAGGGAAGCATTCTTGACTAGTGGCAGAAGAGCTGGCATCACACTTCTCGTATTGGACAAAGGTATGCAGAACTGTAGCGCACAACATACTGATGAAAAAACGCATCTTTTCTCCGTGGGTATCTGATGAAGACGATGTCAGAAGACGAAGTCTTTTCGCAAACAAAGAATGTGGGGGATTTCCCGTGAATATGTTGGGGATCCCCCCATGATAACGCCTCTAATTAAAAACAATTGATATATGATAGTATGAGAAGGAGACACAAGCCTGTCGATTGGAGAGTTTTATCTTGATGTAACACCAAATTAGCTCTTCTATAAAGTTATAAAGAATAAGATGACGTTTAAGCAAATAAATTTTTATGCACAATTCTCGAAAAATTTCGCTTTGTGCACGCAGAAGATGACGAATTAATCTCTCATAGACTAGCGAGAGACAGATATTTACACTTTTACATGTACAGGAATTTATGAAACTTTGGAACTTTCCTCGATTAGCATATGAACTTCGTTTCGATAGCTTCATTTCCGGGAAAAAAAAAGGCAGCACTGACGATCTTGTCTGACATCTGCTAATAATACATAGACCTAAACTTGGCCGATTGTAACACACCTCGCACAAAAACATAATCCAAGATTCCATCTCCACTGCTTTCGCCTTCTATTGGATGCACAACGGAAAAATAGATTCTCGGAAATTTACTTTGTACGGTGATCGATTATAAACCATGCACACTAGAAGTTCAGTGTGGGGAATTTAGCCTGACGATTTAAAAGTGATTAGAATTTAATGCTTTTTTTAAAATCATAGAATAAACGCTGAAGGAATACAAGCAAACAGATAACAGTACACAAGAAATGTACAGTAATAGTGCCTACCTTTGATGACTGAGGACTTGTTCTCGATACTGCCGCAAAACAGAGGTGATTGAGGCTTGTAGAGGGAGCTTTCAGTTACAGATCATTTAGTAAACAATTTTTTACCACTCGTCTGAGTCCTTTAGTCTGATTTCTCGGAAACCGGCCATCACAGAACCGCTTACATGCCATTTTAATCAGGATCAAATTAACGCATTCAAGCGGTCAAAGTAGCTTCCCTTTGGGTCACGGTAAGTAAATAGGCCCACGCAAGGCCCGGTGCCACAGCTGGCGAACCCTTCAAATGCGGCTTTGGAGAGGCTTTGGATACCATTATGCCTCCTAAACGCGATTTTAGGTCGAAAAAGTTTCAATGTAGTTACTTTTAAAGGAGGAAAAGCTATAGGAAAGTCGAAGTTTGGTGTTCCAGTTCGATATGCCGCCCAGCAATCAATTGATACAACGCCTGTAGTCACCGGATCTTCTCTAAACATATGCAGAGGTTTTCCTCCAGACCAATAAGACCTTCCCCATATTGACGAATCTCATGGTTTGAAAAACAACAAAAGATCTAAAGGTATAAAAGTACGACTGAAGTGCAAGTTAAAAGCTTACCATGAGAGGAAAGCCACGCTGGCTTCGTCTTGGCTCAATGCGAGAGAGCCGCTCGTCTCAGCGCTGTTGACCAGACAGGCTTTGCCTATGGGGCAGATGTGTGTCATTCCTTTTTGCGAAGAAGAGGCGTGCGGCAGATGCCTTAACTGCAGTCCAGGGCAATTCCTATGCGAAAACCATATCAATTCAGTTCATGCAGGAGGTAGATCTCTGCACCACCGGGAAGTTTGGAAGGTAAGTTGAAGATTTATGGAACACAGTCTCCTTCAATCACCTTATCAATTATGTTGTGAAACCCGATTTCGTGTGGTTTGATTGCAGAGACATCCTTCTTTTTTTTCTTACAACTGTATATATCTCCTCTACACAATTACTTCACTTCATGAAGTTTCTTCTCAACTCCAATATACATTATGTCAGTAAAACCTGCCCCACTTTTATACAGAGGAAAAAGTGAAACCAGTGAGCATAATTTCTTCTTGAAAACATACATGTAATTTGCTCTATACTCAGAACAAAGTAAAGTTTATTTTTGGCAATTTTGAAAGAGTTGGCTGATTTAAGGGGTGTGTGATTTGTAGTCACCTGATTCACATAGGATATTATATACTCTTAGGATGGAACTGATTCATGAATGCCATATCAATTTGGTGAGTGTGTATGGACTACACCTCACAAAATGGATCATGGATATGTGCATGACTTTATAGCTGTTGGTTTTTGCATGGTAAGTAACTAACAGCAGTGCAATTTGTAACTATATTGTGAGATAGGTTGCCAATCTGCAATTACCAGTACCACTTTTTACCTATACTTACACTTAAATAGTTTGGTTACCTCTTCCAGGAAGGTTTTTGTTTCTGTTTTAATTGGTTTTAAGGTGCTGATTATTTTAGATTTAAAAGTGGTAGAACAAGCACATTACTGAGGATAACTGATACCTTAACTGTAAATTTTCCATGACTGACTCTTGGTTATTCTATCACAAATAAGGGCTTGTACATTGCAGAAGTGGTATTTTTGAGGTGTTTTTCATTTTCATGAGAGGAATAATGACCACTTTCAACATAAACAGGAATCAGTAAACAATATTATTGTTGTTATTATTATTATTATTATTATTATTATTATTAGAGAAGAATATAAGTATGGACACACTACTGTATGGTGTCTGTCTTTGTACAGGGCAGCAGCATCCATTAAAATCAAATGTTGCGAGTATGAACCAGAAGCCATAACACTGATCAGGAACAGTTTCTGGCTATCTTCTCCAAAAAAACCCCAGGTAGCCTTTGACCTTGGATTTATGGCCCTGTTCCAATACATTTTCTTAGAATGTAGAGTGTCTTTATTAAATTCAATATGTCAGGCGTTGCAATGGCTGGTTCCTCCTGCTTCCAAGGTTTACGTAAGTATTCATTCAATAAATTTTTATCTTATATTCACGAATGCAATTTTTTCTTAATTTATGCAATAAATAAATTATTTGATTTCCTTTAGATTAAGGACATCTACTGGCTCTTTGTTGGAGATTGTTTCGAGGAGTTCCTGTATGTCCAGCATTTTGAGTAACCTGAAGCAATTCAATCCTTCTTATGAGAATGATGATGAATGTCCTGCATGACCTAAGGTTTGTGATAAGTCATCCTGCAGATGAAATTCCTAAGTGAGTAATATCTACCTTTGGAAATCTAGAACAACTATCATTATATATGTTGGCATAATGAATGATATAATTTCAACAAGAAACATCATTCTGAATCTTTATGAGTCTCTCTTTTTCCTAGTGGTCCTCTATAGTGTGGCATCTGGTCTTAGCATGAGTTATTCCATTTTTTTTTACTCATTTAGGCTTAAGAAATATTTCTAACATGACAATTTTAATAAGATATTGGCATCTGATTGTAGGAGAAGGGAAGTTTATTTATCTCCATTGATGCATTGTTTGGATGTGTCCAGAAATGCAGTGCTGGAACTAATGGAAAGTCCTCAAATCATGGAGAGGAACTGTTCATTAACCAAGAAAAAGAGGATGCATTTCCAGCTAATTACAGCAAAAGACCAAGCGGCAAGTCAACAAAGCGTAAACCGAATGACTTTTTCTCTTACTTTGTGTGTTGTTGCTTTACTCTAACCTTTTGTTACCCGTCAGTACTCATACCACTACTCAACCATTGCAATGAGAGACCAAAAGTAACAGTCAAGGTTGTTGCTGGTAAAAATGATGTCAGTGTTGTATTATTTAAATATAGTACAGTTTGAAGGGTCAATTACTGAAACTGTATAGATTGTCATTTAAGATACATAATTAATCATCATTTTACACTCAATGTACCAGTAATATAAATGTAACAATAAGAAAACTGAGAAATTAATGCTGATCAATTAAATTAATGTCTAACAGAAAATTCAATACAAAATACTTGTTTGCTGTTATGGCACAATTTAAGAATTTACAAATTAAACCAAATCATAAGGTCAGTAAATTTATCAATTATATCATTTCAAATACTCGTCACTCCAATCTTACTTTATATAGTTTAGTTAATTGGACACAATCATTTGTAAACCACAAAGTTCACATCACAAAATGTGATAAATATCATAGTAATTATGTAATAATGATGATGATAATGACTATAATTATTATTAGCTGACCTGTTTCATGATGTTGCCAATTATCTTCTTGGCTTGTTTATCAGCTGAAAGTAGTGACACAGCTGACCCTGAATCTGTTGCCACCTTTTTATAGTCATCTCTATCTGACTTAGACAAGTTCCTCCACTTTTCTCAGATGGTGCGAAAGACCTTCCACCAGTTTGTTCTGTGGAATAAAAGGAGGTGATGCATTTTTTAATTTAAAATATAGGATGTAAACCACAAATTTAGCTAGATCAAGAATGACTACCTTTGTAGAGGAACTCCCTTGAGAAAGCATTAAAGCCACTTTCTTTCTAGTTTCTTTTAAGTCCTCTTGACTGTCCATCAAGCACTCTGGAACCACTACTACACATCACATTGTGGTTGTTTATCCAGTACAGACCAGGAAAAAAGTAATGTTTCACACTAAAAGAAAAAACAAAGGAAATTAAAATTCTAACTGGTGTAGCAATTTGACATACAAGAAAACTTTGAGGTAGCTGTCACTGACAACACACTTGCAGTCAAAACTACTGTAGGGCTGACACTCAAAAAGTCACCTTTGAAACTCTTTACAATGGCCAATTCATATTATCAACTCAGTTAATAAAACAGAATTTTCTTGTTATATTTCCCCACAAATGCAGCACCACAGTTTCTTTAGAAATTTGCTCCCTTTATTCAATTGGAAAAACATATTTTTTCAGTTAATTTATCACATTAACATGACTTATAACAATTGAATGACAGTACAGTAGCTAAAAAGGCTATTGTAAAAGAGGAAAATTGTTGTAATATGTTTTAATTTGCAAAGTCTGAGAGTAGAGTTCTGTGCATGCAATCCCATAAATTAAAGTTCTGAGCTTCTTCAAGATCTCTTTAATAGTATTTCTTTCTGTATCTATATTGTGTGGTACAAATACCACATCAATTTTGTTTACCTCAAAATATTAAAAAAACTTTAAATCCTCCCTTCATATTCAACAGTAATACTGATTATTAACATATTCAACAGTAAAAATGATAAGTAATAAATAAATGAATAAACAAATTGAAAGACAGAGAACTAGAGGAAAGGGCCATTTTGTATCTTTTTTCAGGCACTTTTGTTACACAAAAGGGCACTTCTGTAACGTGACAGGCACTTTTGTAACTGTGCAGGGCACTTCTGTAACGTGACAGGCACTTTTGTAACTGTGCAGGGCACTTTGGTAACTTTGGAGGGCACTTTGGAAACTTTTAGGGCACTTTTGTAACTATGGAAGTTTATGAATATTATTTAATTCCTGAACTACTTAAACCCTTAAAAAATTTGTTAAAGCAACCACTTCAGTAGCTTTTAAGAAAATGGGAACTGGACGACCTCCTAGCTGATCGAGTTAGGGGATCAGAAAGGTAGTACTTCAAACGTTCTACATGGACAGGAAACGATCTTTCACCAAAAATGTAGATCGTTTTGTTAAGGGTTGAAGATTGCGGCAGACAATCTTTCTGATAACAAATAGTAATTACTCATGATTTGGAAAGATTTATGCTCAAAAAATTGTTGATACGGTATCTGATTCTCAAAACCAACATTGAAAATACCGTAATTTATTTCATACATACTTGGGCGAACGACTGAAAATACATCGTTCGTCCACTCGTAGACATGAACGATAGTACCTCACAGTGGAGGGCAACAAGCGTGCGGCTATCAGTAAGAAAAAATCTCAGTAAGTATGAAATAAAAACATTACACCATGGAAAATGCTTGAACGATTTTTATTCGCGAGTTGCTAATGTATGCATAAAAAACTCACTCGTTCGTTTTTTGATACCTACATTAGCAACTCGTGAATAAAAATCGTTCGATGCCAATTGTATCCCTCAGCGGTGCGTTC